CACGTAATTTTGTTGTTTTAAAACCCCCGCCAAAAAAAAAAAAAAAAAAAAGAAAAAAAAAAAAGAAAGAAGGTTGTGGGGGGAAAGCTGTGAATTAAGAAATTAAAAATGTAAGGAATTCTATTCTTTTGAAGGATAATCTTTAAAAACCGAACCCTGCATTCTGAGGACCTCCATTGAGCATGCTGTCTGAACTCATAAAACACATGAAACTTCACCCAAGGTCAAATACTCAGAATACAGGCTGCTGAGTGCTAAAAAGATATCTGGGTGTTGACCTTTCTTCTGGGAGCCCTGCCAGCATCAGGGCTGGTATGGGTCTGCTGTGGGGGAGAAGGAGGAGAGCCATGGAGAGCACACATCAGGGCACGTGCTCTTCATGACCTCTGCTGGGCCCAGCTGCTCTTTGGATGCTGTTCTGCACAGGGATCTGCGAGTGGCGAGGGGCTGGTGGGGTGGGGGAGGAGTAGGGGGGAAGTTTTATGCTCTCCTTTTCCCCTCAGGCAATTGGGAAAAGGTCATGTCCTTCTAGCCTGTCATTTCTCACTGCTGCAGGCACTTCCCTTCCTCCCAGGGCACAGGTTGCTCCCCAGCAGACAAAGTGCGAAGGTGTGAGCCTGGGTGGACATGGAGCTGTGCCCTTGTAGGTAGCTGGGTAGGGACACATGTTGATTTCCAATGTGTAAGCTCCGTACTCTGACCTCCAATTGCATTTATAAACTGACACCACCTTCTAGAAACTCATTTTTAAAGCAAAGGTAGGAAACTGAAGAGTTGTAGAATTCATACCTCAACACTCGTGTAAGGACATAAACCCCTTAACTTCTGGGAAGAATGTGGGATTAGGTGCTTAGAGATCTTTATAAGAAAGATGTCAACACAGTAAACTTTGTGCCTTTGCTTTTTATATTCAGCTATTAATGTTTTTGGGTTTGTTTTTAATTTTTGGACACAGGACCTGTGAAGGGCGAAACATCCGGTACAGGACGTGCAGCAATGTGGTAAGTGAAGTATAGCTTTGATACAATACAAATAATCACATATGACAGTCACGTCCATACTACATAAAATAATTTGGTAATGTGATAGTGAGAATGCTGTAGCTACCAAACCTGCCTCCATACCACAGGACCGCAGGCAATCCTTTGTCAGTTTCCTGAAAAGCTGGAGAGGTCATGGCACAGCACAATGCTAGAACTGTTGGGAAGGGATTGCAGTCACAGCCTTTCCAAATATGGTGTCAGCAACTTCAGAGTTGCTCTTTACAAGCCCCCAACAGAATCGTGACCACTCGTGTTCCCAGTATTACTTTGGTAATGGCTGGTTCACATTGGGTAGTCTGTCAGGCTGGAGGATTAAGCTGTTAAGGATTGAAGACTAGTAAGAGATAAATGTTTCTGTTCACCTGTGCCCTCCCAGCACTGGAATTATGTTGCATGTCTTGAAAAAAACAGTTTTAGGTAGCCTGTACCAGTGTTTTGGCCTTTCCAAAGACTCTTGCTTGTTTTTTATATATGGTGAATATAGTTTTCAATACAATAAAATAAGAAACTTTAACTTCTGTGCTCACCAAAGTGAAAGTGTGTTTTCACTGGTGAAAATGGAAATAAAGACTCTCTTATGGAAACTTTTATTGGATGCCAAGAATAGTAAAAGCTCTCAAATTACATGGAGAAATGTCAGTTTTACCAGTAAAGACGGAAAATGAAATCAAATGTGCACAAGGCAAAGCTTTCTCATGCCTGATAGGGATATATTCAGAAGCCTTTCAATAGCTGCTTTGTCTAAAAAAGTTTAGAAATTTAAGTTAAAAAAATGATGACTTTCCTTCATATTTAGCTTATATTTTCTTCGATAGACAACATTTCATAATGAAAGAAAATGCTTTTATCCAAGTTGTAGTCTCCCATGTGGTAAGATTTCTCACACTTCTTCCTCTGAAAATTGCTCTGGGTGTATCCTTTTGGCTCCTGAAACCTCTCATGAGTCTAGACATATGCTTCAACAACTGACAACAACTGGAGTAGTCCATAAGTAGGTCTGACAGCCGATTAACAGTCCAATTTCCATCTCCGAGGCATTTCGACTACACCATGAGTGTGGAGGGAATGGTTGATTGGTACCAGTCAAGTTGAATGCTGTAGCTCTGTAGACTAAGACACACACAGGAAAAGATAAATACTGTTAAAGGCTAACTGGACTACAGTTAGACTCATCAGTTTTGTTTTAATTTGTGAATACATGCACATTGTGACAGTCCCCTTCCCCTCTGACATGCCCTTGTGTATGCTCAGAGCAGCGAGACAAACTAACATCCTGCTCTGCTCCTGTCAGCTGCTCCTGGATCATCCTGATGAGAGCTGGGGTTTTACCCGAGTTGCAACCCTTACTTTGGAATCATTGAGCTTAGCTTTCCAAGATAAGGAATAATTATTCAGATGATATTTTTAGCTTAGATTCTGTTTCGGAAATGTGCACCTGAACAGTTTTCTTTCAAAATAAGAGCATTGCATAGTTTTGTCAGGCAGTTTCCTTTACATACCTTGTATTTGGCAATATTTGGCTCCAGACTTTCCAACACAGCAGCGAGGCATGCAGCTGCAGAACTCACCTAATTATTTCATACCAAATAATCCAAACTGAAACTTTCAAAGTGCATTACTATGCTGAAATCAGTGACAGTTTTGCCACTGAATCACTAAGACCTAGGCCTGCATTTATGATTTTAACCCCCCTTTTTTGGTGAGGCTAAAGAATAGGTTGTGCCACATTGCTCTTTTCCTTAATAAAAAGATTAAATGAGTTTTCATTTGTTTTTGGTAAACTTGCAAAACCAGCAATAAATGAAACTGTTTGCAAGATTCTGACTGCATCATAATTTGACCAGGACCTCCAAATACAGCTTTATGTCACAAGGAAAGTACTTGGCTGTATTCATTTTGCAGATATTTGATTTCAGTGAAAAGTATTTTCCATTTTTAAAGTATATTGAGTCTTTGATTCAGATGTTACGCCCTTCCACTTACCATCGTCACTATTCTGAAATACTGTGCACCAGCATTCACAACATCAGTCATTACAAGGTCACTGCCACCATGATCAGCATCATAACTTCTGGTAGGATCCTGTCACAGCCATGGTGGTCCTCAGCCTCGTGTTTCTGGGGCTAGGTACCACTTTGAAATACCTTGTGCAGCTCCAGTATGAACCTAAGGCAGTTTGGGAAACCTGGATGTGTATCTCTGAGCTGAAATCCATTCTGTTACTGAATGGTGTAGCTGTACCACTAAAACACTGTTTGTCTCTTTCAGAACAGTAAAAAATATAATTTCTCTTTAATGAAGTCTATTGTCTTTATCTCCAAAATCCAACGTTACACACAACTGGGTCTTGAAAACAATTCATTAACCCCATGGCTTGGCATGGAATTCTGCACTGGAAAAAGCACACAATATTTTTTGTATTTTTGTTAACTCAGACTTTACCTTTTAAGATTTCATTCATAAAGACACTGAAAATCAGGAGAACAGAACTTCCAGGCTCAATGAGACTTACAATTGCATCTGTTAGATGACAGTCACTATAAAGGAAAATGAGAGCAATTCCCTTCATTCCACCCCTGCAAATGAAGCGAGCTATCATGCATTGTGGAAAATTCCTTTCTGATTCTTTGGAAATCTGTGAGTCCTGAAATACAAGTTTTTATTACCATTAGCTTGTGTGTAACTTGAGGACTGATGTTACTGTTCATAAAATATCCAGTCTTTATATTTTCTGCAAGTTGTCTTTCTGTAAACAGACACATGTTTGTTTATATGACTGTCCTCTTACAGAAAAGGAAGGGTAGTAACATACACTAAAAGCAAACTCTTATTTCAAAGGTGAAATTGGAGAATGGGAAGACTACTTCTTGGAGTCTGGCAATGAACACGTTTTCATAGGCACTATCATTTGCACAATTTTGCTACAGCTGGTTTTAATTCATTCTGAAATTAAATTACGGGGCAGGGGGAAGAATGAGATAAAGAAAAAAAGAGGCAAGGGGAGAGAGTTGAGTGCCTGTTTTTTCTGTGACCCGTATTGTTCTAGGGATGCTAAACCATTTTGTGTAGTATAGACTATATGAGAGATTGACACTGCTGCCTATAAAGCTTCTGAGCAGTCCTTAAAAGAACTGATTCAGTCCAGTATGTTCACCACTTGCATTGCCTGGTGTTGATCAGAATCTGGAAAGATTACGGGTATGAAGCCACATGTGTAAATAGTAAAAGAAGGAATGAGGGAGTCTGAAGATGATTTAGGGTTGAATTGCATCTGCTTTTTTTCTTCTTACTATTCATATTGACTCCAAGTATGTTTCCAGCCATTTTAGAATATAATTGTGGAGGAGAGAGAGGGAGTAATTTGTTTTTCTTTAGAAAATTACTCTGAATGCAACAAAAACATGTTTTTGTATCTAGTTGGGTTGTTATACTAAACATTATGCAAAATAAACAAAAATATTTCCAAACTCAGAGTAAGATTTTTTTACCAGTTCTGCTTCTTTCCACCACCCCACCCCCCCGCAAGCTAGCACGCTGCCTGTTCCTTCTTCTAGGCATGTTCTTAGTTGCCAGGTTCCCTCCAGCTTTTTTACCACGATACCATGCTGCCTCATTTTGCCTTTCTCTTTTTCAGTCCTTCTGCCACTATGCTGTTTTTTGCTTTCTCTTCCCCTTTTATATGAAAATCTATCTGAAGGTTGTGTGTTGGAATGTGTACTGTCTTCATGCCTTCTTTCTTCAATCTCAATTATCAAACCTCTTTTTGTGATCTAAAACATTTTTATTTTCCTTGACATTTTTCCCTTTGTTGCACTGCTTTCTGAATCAGACCAGAAAAAACAAATAAGATGCATGAGACCGGCACTTTATTCCCAAAGGACTTTGCTTTTCATATTTACTTGCTTATACCTGCCAGCATGATGATGAACACCACATATAAAACTGCTCTTGAGATTTTGCTGTTTGACATGAAAATAGACAATGCTGGAAGCTGCACAACGTTACTAGCTCTTTCAACAATGTTTGGAGCAGTTCCGTTAAACCTAGATAAGATAAAATTTGTAGATGGTAGATCCCATTAATCAGGCCACCAAAACCTGTAAACACCACCTGCAGCTCTTTTTTATATATACTCCACTTTCTTCACTTGGCTGAAATACCCAGTGTAATGACATCCCCCATTTTTTGGCTTGTATTCAGACAAACTACTTCCATCTCTGTTTCTTATCAGCTCATGCTGCATTTCGTACACACCAGCACCAATATTGCCCATGTTACTTTTGACAAAATGACACTATCTTCTTTCCAGGCACCAAAACCCAGCTTGTTGGAAAATGTCAAACCTAAACTTCCATATATGTACATAATTTTCAGAGTCATTGGCTTCTGTGTATGAGAAGCATCATCACCAGGTATAATTTTTTCAGATCTACAAAAGTTATTAGCAGAATTTATTTCTTTTACCCTCTGGCGGCTAGAAATGCCATATGAAATCTTTTGCAATCAAGCCTCCCAGTTTGCCTTTTGCAGTAAGATAAAAAAAATACAAATTAAAAAGAAAAAGTATAAGCATTACACAACTCCTTACTAACACCAGATTTACTTAGTGTCAGTTTATTTTTTAAGTGGAAATTCTTCCAAACTCAGATAATTTATTGTGACTACAGTCTCTTCTTCAGAATGCTAGATTTTAATAACTACCATCTTATTTCTGAATGGGTGCATTATAGAACCTCAGTGTGTCATCTAGGAATTATTTCCTTATACTTAGAAACAAATGCTTTTAGTATGTTGCTAGTGGTAGCAGCTTTGACTTCTAAATTTGCTGTTTTCTCGGCAAGTAGACCTGTGAATCTTTGACTATTAAAAAAAGAACAAAAAAAACCCCATTACTGCCATTCTGTAGACCAAAGAACCTGGATCGCTTCCATGATGGTGGCATTTCAAGATTCTGTTCA